AGCAAGGAAGCGCTCTCCCAGCGAACTGAAGAAATCCATAAACTGTTTTTCTGTTATCGTGAAACGTGGGGGACAATAAACCGCGGACAGCGTAATATCACCTTGCTTTGTTTGTACGCATATTGATGTTGCTTGCAGATAATTCTCGGCAATTCCAGTCAAATGATGGTGTTTAATCCGGTTTCTGACTAAAATACCAGTTCCGTCATGCGCCTTTCCATCTGGATGATTCGTGCAAATAAAAGGTATATCCCGAAATGTCAAAATTATATCTATTAGTTAGGTGTGTTTCAGCAAGGAGCATTATGTCAATTTCCTTGTCCTTAAGAAATTTTGACAGCTCTAGTTTGTGGCGAGGAATGCCATTTGCATTCCAGAGGGCTATTTTAAGTAAGGTCATTATCTTGTTTGCTGAGTAGCAAGCAGGTTGAGCAGCGTATTTTGATTTCGCATGAGTTCTTGCATTGTGTTTTGCATGAAAGTCATGAAATTCATCATGCTTTGTTGCATCGACGCTATCATAGCTTCGATATTGGATTGTTTACCATATTGTGCATGGGGATGCTGTTCTTGCGGCGCAACTTGAGGTGCAGTTTTTGTAGGGGCACGGTTTTCTAAGCCTGATTTTAAGGCACTTGCAAACGAGACGCCATTGACGGTGTTTGATAGAACTGTTGGCGACGTGGCTCTTTTGGCGAAGAAGACGTCAGGATTCGTTTGGGAGGGTACAAAGGCATTCGGTACATTATGAGTACGTATGGAAGCCACGCGTTGGTTGATCCGGTTTTTTAACTCCTTATAGACTGGACAGCCTCTGTAGTTTGCTGTGTGATTTCCACCGCAGTTACCACATTTTTTTGCACGCGGGTTTTCTTTGCTTGATGTGCAAGTGGCAGAGACATGTAGCTCTCCACAAGCTACGCACACTGAGCGAAGCGTGCAGTAAGACCTAGTATGACCATACTCCTGGCAGTTGGTGCATTGTACAGGGCCATTTCTCTTATGCGGTTCTTCCACAGTTATCCTACGATGCAGCAGATATTGTAATTTATAAATTGGATGCACATCGTTTTTGCCCAGAGGTTTGTTTTCAGGCTCGAGCTCAACTTTAAACATAGGTTGAGGGATTTTGTTCCTATTAAAAATATTCACAGCAGCTTTTGGATTGAAACCTTGTTCTTTAAGTGCTTCCAAAACTTCCACAGCTTCAACGCTTGGTTCGATACCTTTAACTACAATTTGTAGACCTTTTGCACTTTTAAGTTGGTATGTATAAAATTTTGTGTTTGTGTCATTCAGGTATTTGGACACTGTTCGAAAATCCTGTTCGGAATAAATTTGTACTTTAGTTTCGCGAATATTTCCCTTAGATAGTGGGATAATATGAATTTTATTACTACCGATTAGCTGTGTGAATTTTTTTACAAGAGCGCTTGGATTCTCTTCTCTTATAAAAATGGGCGGAGGTTTGGCATTAGTAGCTTTTGCAGCACCTTCAGAAATTTGGCTATTCACATCATCGGCATTGTCACTTAGCAGTGCAAATCTATTCGTACTGACTTGCTGAGTTGAGGTAAGGCGGTTTATTTTTGTCTTACTGCCCGTTGAATTTTGCGGACTAAGTTTTCTTTTTATTGTAACATAGCGGTCTATTCCAGTCTGTATGGCCGCATTTTTAGTTGTTTCGTTTTTCAACCTTTCTTGCGCTTTACCTTTGTTGCCAGTGCTTGCACTCAAGTTAATTTGTGCTTGTGCAGCAAGAATAGGCCGGGCTGTTGACACCGCTGTGCAGTCGGCAGGTACCGGTGTGTTTGTTGTTGTTGTTGGCGCGATAGAGGTAGTGAAACATGTCGCTGTACTAGTTGTTGTTGCCGCTATATTTGGGGATATGTTATCGCTTACCGAATTTGATGTAAGCGTTGGGCGTGAAATGTGATACGGCACACGTGAAGCGCACTCTTCACTCCAAGGCATCGGAGTCGTCAATGGTAAGTTTGGAGGACAAGTCCGCTGACCTGAATCTTGAGGGGGTTTGAGGGTGGTCGATGGATTGGGCTTTGCGCTTTCGCTGTCACTCTGGGACCGAATAGAGAAATATGCGTTGTTGCGTTGCTTCTGAGCTCGGATTTCAGCTTGACTCATCGCTTTCTGTTTTCATTTGGTTTGTTTGTTTATTTTACTTATTTATTTTATTTTTTTGTTTTTTTTTTGTTTTATTAAATAGCACAATATTTAATGACTACGGAGCGAACTTAAAAACACGTCCGCACTCTTCGACTGTTCAAATTGAAATTTGCTTAATTTGCTAACTTCGAATTCGTTCCACCAAAATGAGCTACATGATAAAAATACAAGTTCAGTTAAATTTTCGTTATTCGAATTATTAAAAAATTAGAAACCAGAAATCGACAAAAATTAATAAAAAAGTGTAAAAGTTTCGTGAAATTATTTAATTTATTTATATTAAAATTCTTTTGTAAAATTTTGTATTACTTTTGAAAGCTGAGTGCATCTTTAACCGTTAATTTTTTCATGATTTAATGATCGGATCTAAACCAAATTACGGGACGACCCTTAAGGTACCATCTTTCCGGTAAAAAAAATAATTATTGGAATCGGTTCACGCGGTGCAAAGTTATGCGGTGGAATAAATAAAATAAGTAAAAATACTCCGAAGAATTGATAACCTCCCCTTTTTTGAAGCCGGTTAAAAATGTCTGAGTTCTTTATAAATTTTATGTAAATAAAATGCAATTGATGATACTTTAAAAAGTTTATTTATTTATTTCATACTGTAAATAAAACTTACATAAATGTATTTTAAAGAGCGAATTTTCAGTATTTGCTGATGATATATATTTAGAAGTATAAACCCTTTCCCTCCAAAAATATATTCCTGCGTGCGCCCCTGGCACTTAGTATTTATTATTTGCAAAAAATATATTTTTATTTTCTAAATGTTTGTAGTTTCAAACATTTCATGTGTATATTTTAAACAACTCATGTTCAAAATCAAATCTTAAACATCTTGTGCGTATACTTGAGCAGATTCTAGTTGAAAAATAAACACTTTTCAGTAGTAGTTTTGCATGCACTTTTTAGAGTGCATTTTTTATTAAAAAAAATAAACTTTTCAACTCATTTTAGTAAAGCTCAAAACATAGTATGATGTTGCTTAAGTACTAATGAATCTAAAATTAATTAGCCAAACATATTCGGTTGCTAAAGCAAGAGCCAGACCGATTTAAAGCTGAAAAATACTACGCTGGTAGTCAGGGAGTAAGTAGCAAAATAGTGAATTTTCATAGGATTTTAGTATGAAAACTGGAAACTATAACTACTTATCTAACGTTATAACATAAATCTTATTATTGGAATATCCAAAAAACAAAAACAGAAATTTCAAATACATATGTACGTGAAGGAAAATAAAAACTTAAACCATTTCAAAAAACATCAACTTGTATAGTGTCGGAATAAAGCAAGAAAAGCAATAGAAAAACACAAACATTTTGATATTTATAATTGTGTCATAAAAAAAACTGACTTACAACAAAAATGCGCACTGGATGTCACAACCCAATTCCTACGCAGAATCACTTGCTGACTCCGAAAATCGAGTATTCTTTCTATAAATAAGTTTTCGAGATATTTGTAGTTTACCGTTTACTGGAGAGTTTTTCTACCTTTCATTTGCTGCATTTCGTATAAGATATACATACGTGATTAAGTGGAACCACTTTTTTAAGCTGAATAACGGTAAATTGCAAATATCTCGAAAATTTATTTATGGAAAAAATAGTCGATTTTCGGAATCAGCAAGCGATTCTGCATAGGAATTGGATAGTGGCATCCAGTGCGCATTTTTATTGTAAGTCAATGTTTTTTATGACACAATTATGAATATAAAAATATTATAATAATGGTATAAATATAAAAATGTTTGTGTTTTCTCTCCTTTTCTTGTCTTATTCCGACACTATACAAGTTGATTTTTTTGAAATGTTTTAAGTTTTTATTTTCCTTAACGTATGTATTTGAAAAAAATATATATATAATTTTTGATATTCCAATAATTAGATTTATATTATAACGTTATATAAGTAGTTATAGGCCCCTATTATGAGTTGCATTCGATTTTCGACTGTGGTCGAAAGTGCTGAGCGAACGAATTTTCATTTGGTATTATGGCGCTTATTCGATGAAGAATAGCGCTATTGTGAATTTCGCCCGTTTAGGTTGTTCACAATAGTATATTTTTCACCGCTGAGAAGCTTTGTTTACAAATCGAGCAATCTAAATAGTGTGCTTATACATATTTATGTAAATTTGTTCTAATTAAAATGAGGTAAAAAAGAAAGCAAGTTTATAAAAACGTAGTAAAATGAGTACAACGAGTTCTGGTTCAACGATTCGTCGGAGGATGAGAGCTAAGTAAACTGGTCAGGAGTAGCAAATGTTTAAGAAAGTTTAAGTTTATTAGTCTTTCGAATATATTTTGATATAAAATATATTTAAGAAATTTGTCTACAGATTCGAAAATCGAATGCAGCTCATAATAAGGGCCAGTTTCCAGTTTTCATACTAAAATCCTATGAAAATTCACTATTTCGCCACAGCGCAATACTTTTCAGCTTTAAATCGGTCTGGCTCTTGCTTTAACAACCGAATTAATGTCTGGCAAATTAATTTTAGATTCATTAGTATTTAAACAACATCATATTAAATTTTGATTTTTTTAATAAAAAGTGACGTCTGGCACAATGTTAGCAACAACGGACATGTCTGGCAATAATAAATCTACGTTTCTAAAGGCTAGTTAAAGCCGATGAAAAGAAAATTAGCCTTACTAAAATGACTTAAAAAATTAGCATTTTTAACTGTAAATATACGATGCGCACTAGTCAACGCAAACTTTACATACAGTTAGGAGCTAAAAATTTATTCTAAATAAATAAATGTTCTTGATTTTTTCGATGGAGTAAGATAAATTAGATTACCTTATTGACACCATTGTTTGTTGCAATCTCATTTTCTGTTGCCTACAAAGTTGGAAAAGAGTATACCGACTAATTTTAGATTTTATGTTATAATTAAATAAATATTTGGGACCTACATCACCACTTTCATATGCGTTATTCTGCTGTCTTTCCATTTCCTTTTCTGTCATCTGTAAAAAATTAAAAAAATAAATTAAATATAACTAGCATTTTTAAATCATTTCCAATACATATTTGAACTTCATGTTCAATATGTTTGAATAAATTTAACACCCCGAAAAATTTGCTTATTTTTTGGTTCACTTGAATACTTAGGTATAGTGCCGTAAAAAAGGTCCCTTTTTTAAATTAAAAAAACTCTCGATTGATAAATTCGAACCAAAAAGATAAGACTTGCTAAGCGAATGCTCTGTATACCACCTGAGTATGGCTGACTTCCAAAATGTATCAATACAATATTTGGTTACTCCCAATAGACCATATGACTTGAGAATAATATTTTTAAAAGCTTACAAATATAAGAAGAAATGAGAGCCTTTCATCCAAAATATTTTTTAAAACAAAGGGGCCGGTGCACAGTGGTCCAATGTGCAAAGCTAGGGTAATTTAATTACATTTTTGGTTTGTAATTTTTCAATAAATTTTTTATCAAATATGCAAGAATATTGTCTACTTAAGAGTAAATACAACTTTGCTTGAAAAAATTTGGCTACATATAAACATAACGGTATCCAAAAGTCATAGTAAGCAATAAGTGAAAAATGAAATTGTGCGTGCAACGAAAACTGAGTATTTTTAAGGCTCAATAACTTGTTTAAATAGACTTTGTTCTAACTTCATTTCTTTCTCCGTCACTGTAAGAAAATTCAGGAAATGTAAAAATTATTACTGATTATTATTATTGTTATTATTGAGTACCAAATTATTATTATTTTTTGTTTTTGTAGAAGAAACCTTTCTTATATGGCGGAATATAGATCACTTACTATACTTATTCTCTCAATTGATGTATATACTAATAGAATCCACAAAAAAATTCTGCGGCTAGCTGCGGCACCCATACATTTACTTTCAATTTTCAAAATGACTCCTAAAATTTCAAGACAGGAAATTTTTGATTTTTGGCTGTCGACCCCTAAAAATGAAAGACTTGATAGAACAATGAATTTTGTACCAGGGAACATCAGTTTAGGATCTAGTGATAGAATCAAATTTGTTAAATTGAAATCATACGTGCGAAATTAATTTAGAATTTGGACCTAAAGTGGACAAAAGTTTTCCGAAAAAGAGAGCAGATTGTTACTGCAAATAAAGATTGGCTCGAATTTAAAATAAACTTGTCACAATTTGTGTGTTCTAAGTTTGGTAAGCCGACATTTTCTGCTGATAGGCCAACTAAAAGTCTTGAAGATTGTTTCCAAAAAGTTAAAATGCAGAAAGCTAATGAGTGAGCTTTCGGAAGTTACCTAATCAGAAGTATTTATTTTTGGCCACTGAAATAAAAATGAGATCTTCAGCTGCGCTACTTAATGAGCTTTTATGTGCTTCTCCAGAAAGAGGTACTGCTATGAAGAAGGTCATATTGGCAAAGAAGAGTCCTAAAGGTATTTTGCCTGAAGAAGCTCTCGCACTAATAAGACCGGCACACACAAAAAAAATAGTGTGATGTGCATTTGACCGGACCTACCTATGGTTATATATTTCGACCCGCAGAATCCGAATTTGAATTCAGTTTGGCCAATATACCTCCTAGATTTCGAGAAAACTTCAAAAAACCGTTTTTTATTGCCGATTTTCACTATTTTTAGGTTTTTTTTTTTTTTGAAGTTTTCTCGAAATCTAGGAGGTATATTGGCCAAACTGACTTTAAATTCGAATTCTGCGGATTGAAATACATAACCATAGGTAGGTCCGGTCAAATGCACATCACACAAATTTTTTTTGTGTGCCGGTGTATTCGACACAAATTTATCAAAGCATCAGTATCGTTTACTTACTGAGGGCCATTTTCTAATGTAAGCAGTAAAGTTGCCTTTACTAACAGGGCAGATAAATTGTTCCTCACTTTAAAGTGTTTTGGTTTTCTTATCTTACCGATAAAAATAAATTTGTTATTCCGTAGAGTGAAACTTCACTACATTTCTGTGAGTGAAACTTCACTACATTCGTCGTATAATTTCAAAGGTTGGCAATGCAAATATAGAGCAAGGCAACTGTTAGCAAAAACCAAACCCAAACCCAAATTTAATGTTGGGTACACATTTTTAGAGGTTGCATCGGGTGAGCAAGAATTTATCGATTCGAGAAATTAATGCGCTGATGAGAAAACGAAAACTCGTATATCGAGACGATAAAGTGGCCGGCAATCTAAAGGTTAGATGAGGAAACGGCCCTAAAAGTTGTTAAACTTGATCTGACTTTTTAACAGTTTTTTTTTATTTTATATATATATATGGTGGCTGATTCGGATCCGGCGTCAATACAGTATATACATAACGGACTTTCTATTTTTAATTCATCCTAAATAGTTAAAAAAGTTTTAGGTATGCAGGTATCTATAACCGTGCGCAAGTGCTTAAAAAATGTACCAGAATTTGACGAAAAAGTTAACGATTTTTTAATTATATGGTTGGTAGGCGTGATCGCTATTCGATCTTGCCCATTTTATGAGCAGAAGTTGTTAGTCATTCAGACATAATTTTTGCAAAATTTCATCCCTGCTTAAGTTTTTTATCCAACAAATCGATTTGCATTGGCTGCAGTGAAAATGATTTTTTAGTTTTTATCCATGCTGTGATCAAGGTTCTAACAACCCCAAGGCATACTACGTGCATGTAGTCAAAGGGAAATGATTTCACTATGTCTACTGGCAGCCTTTCAATTGACATACGGGTATTTGTCGTATGGTGATTTGCATCTTGTCGTGCTCTGACCGCAGAGTGTTATTTTCGAGCTTAAAAATTATGCGCCTGTTTACGTACTCTCCATTTTGTTTGCATTTGTGGCAACAACTGTAACCAGTATGACTTTTGATACCCATAACTAGGGATCTTGCAGGTGCATCACATATAAACAAATAATCGGCAACTTTATAAGTATTGCCTTTGAAAGAAAACTGTTCGTCAATAAGTACAATAAACTCTTCAACAAATGGTGTTAAGAATTCATTAACATCTTTAGGTTTACTATTTCCAGTATAAACTCCCACAGTATATACCAACTTTGTACCTTGCACATTGACGAGGATCGGTGATGCTTGAGCTAATGAACTTTTAGCTATTGGTAGTTCGTCAACATTTATATTTCGTCGTTTGAAGTACAAAACCGCGTATCGTCATTCTGCAAAACCGCGTAACTGACATAGGCTGCCAAAAATTGGATTTGCTCACACAAGCTCTTGGCTCAATCCTTATCCATTCGTCCTGAAATATACTATCCAGATATGTGATTTCTTTATAAAAAAGAGAACCATTTTGAAATATGAGCGTTTTTACTCTCTAAAAAATAATTTATGCAACCTCATATACGCGGTTTTGCATTTTGCTGATACGCGGTTTTGCACTTTAAACGACGATTTAATTCAATAGAATCACTCTCGTATGAAGTAGAATAAAAGAAATCGGTTAAGCAGTCTTTCAGTCCATAATCCACATATTCGCCACCTTGAATTAAAGCTACTGGTGCATCTCAAGACATTTTTTCAATGTTCTTGCGTCTTTTGGTAAGGTTGGTTGAAGCTTTCTTAAAATTGTCAAAAGTTCATTTATCGCACAATGAAAAATTGAACTTTAAATACTCCATTCAGCTAATTCATTTCGAATATTATACTGTTCAATAGTTTCGTCACTGAAGTCATCGTTTTCTTCACAACTTGAACTTGAGTATTGAATATCGTTCTCAATTTCACTTTCTTCAATGTCATTATCAACAGCATCAACAATATCATTTGCCGCAATTCCATTATTAATAGCACTAGCACTACAATTTTCTTCTATGTCACTATTTTTCGTTCTTTTATTATAGAGAAGCTCAAAAATTTCTTTTTATTCATTTCTGATGCTTGTTTTGTACTTATTTGGCATTATACACTAGATGAACTTTTGATTATTGTTATTACTTAAATATATGTATATTTTATAATTAATTCACTGCACTTACTTAACTACTGAATGAAGAACGCCAGGCGAACGTTGACAAAATATCATAAATATAACGGCAAAATAATCGGCTTTTTTCTTCGGATTGAAAAACAATTGTGTAATGCTTGTACATCGTAATAGTAAAATAAAGCTTGTAAGCTTTTTATAATATTGTTCTCAAGTTGTTCGACATAATATTTTTTGACGATTTTCTACACAAAATAAGTGTTTCTCAATTATAGTTATGACCATTTTGATAAGTGTAAGCATTTTTTAAACATACTTACTTTAAAAGAGCTTAATCATAAAATTAATTTCTCAGGCATGTGCAAAATTTGCTTGTGAATTTTCATTTTGACAATCTTTTATAAGTTATATTGAGAAAAGTTTCAAATTCAGTGTTGATGTAAGCTTGTTCTCAAGTACTATTGCAGTCTGCTTCTCAGATGGTCTATTGGGCTGTTATACTGCGGTATTCAAACTGTTTGTATATGCAGAGTTGCGACACATTAGGTTTGTTCCACATGAGCCCGCGGGTACTCGCGGGTGCCCAAAATAACCCAGAAACCGTTCCTCACGCTAGAAAAATGGGGAATAGAGAGCGAATACGTTCCACTTTTGGATCGTAAATGTCTTCTTCTTTGTGCACGAAGGAGCCCGGACTATTTTTCCGGGCACAAATGTGCAAAAGGGCAATTTGAAATAAAAGCTGTTGTTATTCAAATACGAGAGCAAATTTTATCAACACAACAAAAGTGTAAAATATTACAGAATTTTCAGAAAATGTAGTTATTTGGTAATTTTATAAGCCATATAAGATTAATACACGTAAAATCATTGTTTAGAGATGATATGTTGATTCCTGTTATTTCAAATTGCCCTTTTGCACATTTGTGCCCGGAAAAATAGTCCGGGCTGCGCCCAAAGTTTTCCATATATTTTATATGGGGAAAAACAACTTTTCGTAGAAATGGTATAGAATAGTTAAAAATCAATATTTTTCAACCAAAAAACTCTTTTTCTGCAGGAGG